CAACCTACTAGGTGAGCTGGAGTTGACTTTTAGCTCAGTTGTCTATAAGTGACCAAGGAACACAGAAGAGTTACCTGATGTATTTAGAGGCAGGTAAGCCATAGTATTGTTTATTTGAAGGAGAAAGGTAATTTCCAGATACAAGAGCACCCAGCTTTCCATTGACTATTAAATTACTTACAAGTGGAGTTTTTTGAGATGCTGCTCTTCACCTGCAGAACAGTCTCATATCTTAATCTCTACTCTATTTATTTTCAATGTTTTGTCCCCTACCACTGCCACAGGAGATCCCACCCCTCTTCAGCAGACACAGAGTGCCTGAAAATTAAAGATGGCTATACTAATTAACCAAATGAGAAAACTGTGTTCACCAGCTGTCATGACAATAACTCAGTATTCATGATTCTCCTGAAGCTGGCCATTTGTTACACTTCAGGACACTGAAATTTAGCTTCCTGCACACCAGCACCTCAGCTACTTTCATAAGTATTGATTTGTGCTAAACTACCTTCAGTATTGTCAGTTTAGTGCAGCAGGTTCTCAACCATCACTGCATGACCACATAAAGAGTCATTGCCTTCTTACTCATGAGGATTTTTTTGCCCTTTATTTTTTTTATTTTTGACAAAGGTATCTGATGCTGCCTTAAAGTGATGGTAATATGTCATCATGCAAAAAAAAAAAAAAAAAAGTTCTGTCAATATGTCTGTTCCAAAGAACAACACCTATTATTCCAAAAAGACATCACTTCATCATGCTTAAAAAACCCTCTTCCTTTTATTTTTTCCCCTATTCTTCTTACTTCATTTATAGTAAAGAGAATTCATGCATCATAAATGAACTAGGTAAGTATTCTCAAAATGACATAGATTTACAGTCCAAAAGTGATTTATTTTTCATTACAGGTGAGAAGTCTGAGGAAATGCATATTTTTATGAAAAAAGTAACAAGACTTACCTCTGTCTTACAATTTCAAATGATTTTTAAAAAAATATATTCTGACACTGTACTTCAAAGATTCCAGGAAATAAACTCTGAGCCTCTGAATACAATATGTATTTTTCAGGTATCCATCTGACAAGAAAGGCTCTGGTGGATTGCTGAACCCCAGCTTGCTGGGGGAAGGAACTGCTGCATTTTGTCTCTGAAGGAACGAGCCTCACAGCTAAGCAAATGTTGAATCCCTGTTGTCCAGCTGGTAGTTAACAGGGATGTTTTGCCACATAAAAGCTTAGACTGTTAAGGCAGAAGATCTTGTTTCCAGCAGCTCTGAACGCTATTGATCCTTGGTCTGATCCTTGTAGGGTTTTGTAAACTCTGAGAACACTGATCTTTTCCCCAGGGCAATGTTGCATTCCTTTTAGAAGAAACTGGACTTCATTTTCCCACTCATTTTTAATCACCATCAGCCCTCACACAGATAAACCACCAGTATAAGTGTCAGACACTTACAAATTGCAGCCTGGAACTGAAAAGACTGATAAGCAGTTGATTCAGACCTGTGATAGGTAACTAATGACTTACCTCGATCCAAGTTTTATAATACATCATAGCCAAAATCCTAGCACTAGTCAGTCACTATTTCACCTTCTTTGTGCCTTCTATTCCCTCACAGCCTCCAGATATTACTTATCTTGTGAATGCAGTATTTGTGGGGTTCATTTCTGTCCTTATACAAATAGATTTTGAAAAGCTTTAAGGAGAAAAGGTGCAGAAGGATTGCTTCTGACAGAACCAGACAAATCAATTAATTGATCTCTGGCAGTCAGAGATAATTTTATTTCCTACTCTATTAAGGAAAATCAGAATCAGTTAGCTAATTTCACTAGAGAAAATGTCACCAGTTATTAAGCAGCTCACGATGGAAAGAATTAAGGACGGAAAACTCAAAAATGTTTTTCCTTCCAGAAATTGCATTACTTATTACTCAGCCTTTAGAACTCTGGCATCAAACAGCATTACAAATCATTTGATTTGACCAAAGAAAAGGTTTTCTTCCCCTATAGCATCACCTACAACATTTAACCTTTGGTGTCTATAAGTATTGGCACTGTTATATTTGTACTCCAGAAGAAGATAAATTTAACAGTAACTGACCAAAGTATTATCTGCAACACTTAATTTACAGACTCTTCCTGTTATATATGTGCCAAATATTTACGCAACCCCCCCCGAATTTTGTATCTGTCCCTTTTCTAGTAATAACTATTCATACAGGTAGAGAAACATGACTCAAATACCACAAGGTGCAGTTCAAATAGATTAGGGCACTTCTATTTCTCATGGGAAGGGAGAGGTGGCAACTGGCTGTGTGTGCATACAGAATTCAAAATAGCATCCAGTACAATCAAAAATAGAACAGGACCATTACGGGCAGCCTAACATTTTAAAGCACTTTGACTCTGTGGCTTACAGCCAGTAGATCATGTCCTTAATCAAGTTTGATTATTAACCATCACCTAACAGCTCCAGAAGGGCTGATTCTCCCAGGATTTTCTTGCTAAATCTTGCTGATTTATTCATTCCATTATCTGAATGGAGTGCTCTTCTCAAAAAGGCTCACAGCTGGCACATCCACAGTCTCCCAAAAGGCACTGTCTTTATAAGGACAGTTAGCCAAGACTAAGTGTTTTGGGAAACATTGCCCTTATTTCTGCACAGTTACACAGTTCCAAGCCAGAAACTTTAGCCTTATGTTAGTTAGGCATACAGGAGAAGGACTATTCTGTATTTGTGGTGATACACAATCAGGTTTTTTTATTATGATTTTTTCCTTTGTTTTTTGTACCAAAAAATTAGGGGAAAACTAGGTGATACATGTTATTTATTATTAATACTCTTGATTGTTGTTCATGCTTTTGAGGTTAAAAAATACACGTTAGTTTCTTACAGAAATTAAGATGAATTTCAACTTTGCTTCTATTCTGATGGACAGCACCTCATGAATCACCTTTCTGAGCTACAGCAGAACAGAATGATATTGACTCAATTTACAAGGCACTCAAAGAAGAAAAAAAACATAGTTAAATAGAAAATGCACGTCATTGATACTTCTACCACCCTCTCATCCAGGGGACCACGTCAATCCAAGATATCCCAGAAGTCTATAGGGAATATCAACAATGGCAACAGGGGAAAAAAATAAAAAATGTGCCCAAGTTAAAATGAAATTTGGCAAGCTCACCTACTGTTTTTCCTTATACTTCCATGCTACAGTGAAAGGGGCTGCTGAGCAGATGAAGCCAGGCAGAGGACACTGATCAGCAAATATGAGGCACAAGGATTTTGCTGGAAATGCAAAGGTTAAAACCATGGAAGGGAAGCAAATGTAATACTACTCAGGATACATAGAAAGAAAAATTACTGTAAACAAATTAATGCAGTATAACCTATAGTACCATGTGTTTGGAATATTAATCAGCAAAGCAAGGTAAGCACCAATGGAGAAAAAAAGCAAAGATAATTAGGAACTCATTAGTGTGACAGCTGAATATATTATCTCTGTTAGTGCTAGGCTTACCCCCACACCAGAGATTTGATCTGACTGTCAAAGCCAAAGAAAGCATTTCACAGAAATTATTGAATGCAAAAGCACATCAACATGACAAAAAAACAGGCAGTTTTTCACACAGTAACATGAGATGTGAGAAGATTCCTGGCCAACCTCTGAACATCCCACTGTCTAAGTCCAAAAACATCACTGAACCCACTGATGGATGTGGATTTTCAATTGTGAGGAAGATCAAAGATATTACACTAATCACAAGAAGTCAAGAAAAAAAATCTATAGCTCAGGCTGTCTTCTGTGATCATAAGGGCCAGAATACACAGGAGACTTTTTTTATAACTCAGATAAACCAAACATCTCAAGCACAGAGGTAGGTGTTTTCTTTACGATTTTTTTCTATAAAACACAAGTACTTGGCGTAGTCAGAATGCTTTCTAACACAAAGTTGGTGGATATTCACCTGGAGACAGCAACAGAATGACAGATGCCAGCTGTTAAAAAGAAACAGAGCTGTGTTTCTTTCATTCAAGATCCACACAGTTCATCAAAGTAAAAGCAAATTATGATGCCTGTATGCAGATGGAAACAGTTCTACCTAATCCATCCCAATACCTGAAATAATTCCTTGGTTTTCTTGTAGGAAATGGTGCTCGAGATAGAAAAATCAGTTATGAGCCACCCCTGTGTCAAGCTAAAGCTTGAAAGAGAATAGGAAGTGCTCTGTATACAACAGCCACAGATGAAAGAATCCACTGTTGTCCATCAAGTACATTCTTTGGACCTACCTGAGTGTTCTGTTCTCCTCAAAAAGTGTTTATCTAATTTTTCTTCACTGAAAAAGACCTGTGGGGTCCAATATGCAAGCAGAGTGACAACTCACTCTTCTGTGAAGAAGTCAGGCTTCTTCAGAGGCATCAGTTTTTTATAAAAACTATTTGGAAGAGTGGTGTAAAAATAATAGAGAAGTTTGAGTAGACCAGAGTTGTACATGTTCTTCTGAATTATAGGGGTGTGAAACAACAATGTGGCCACGAGAAACAGAGCCTTAGTCAAACATGAGAATTCATTTTCCCTTCTAAATGGTGGGATTCAGCTACCTTTAATTAAAAGAATACAGACATTAGATTTATGACCCTAAAATGAACATGTTTTCATTATAATTCTGTGCAGCTGTCATTTACCACACACTCAAAACCAGTCCAGAAGCATTTAAAGCAGCTATTGTACTTACATCTGAACAGAGGCTTAAAACAATTTGGAGCATTACAACATTGTACTGCAAAAACAAGTCACTCCGTCTGACTTTACAATGAAAATAACGTACATAGATCTTCCCTGACAGCAATGAAAGCCCAATGACAACCTTCTCTGCCCTGGAGATTGCATGAAATATAACTGCACTTGGCAGAAAAGAACCTGTTTTGCAATTTAACTCTTTTCTGTAAGCTGCTCCTCTGTTGTCAGCTGCAAATTAATGGAGACATCAACTCACCCTCTCTGGAAGAGGTCCACATTGTGGAATTTGTGTAGCTCCACAGAAAACTCGACCGTTCCCTGGACCTCAGACATGATTTTTTCAGGTCATCACCTAAATGACACAGACATAGAGACACTATAAACATAAGTATACATAAAGTATTTTGCTTAACAAATCCATGAATGGATTACTACATTTTAGTTGGCATCTTGAGGTTCATGAAAAGCTCGAAATCAACTTTATCAATTGGAATCTTTCCAGTGACATAATTTGGCTCCATCTTCAGGAAGTCTCACTAAAAGCCAGATCAAAGCAGTAATTAAGAGAGGTAAGAAACCTGAGGATAATATTATGGAAAGTATAAGAAGCAAAAAGTAAATAACATAATATGTGCAAGAATCTCAAAGCAAATTTTAATTAACTCTCTTGCTGCTCTGGTATGGGAAATTGATTTTTTTTTTTCTTCCCATTTTATGACATGGCAGATATCCAGAGTCATCACAGCTCATTTCTGTAAAAGCACAGGTCAAAAGGAGAGGAACCTAGATAGATGAGAGCAGAATTCAGGATTCTCTTGCTTTTGACCCCTTCGATGACTTAAATAAAGTCCCGGAAGGGAAGCTTCTGAGGGAATATGAATAATTCAAAAATGAATTAATACAAGAGATTCTTCTAAGGAAAATGCTGACAATCACAGCACCTAATAGGCCTCAACAGCCAGATCAAGATTTTGCAACCTTACAAATATTTATAGGTAACATCTCATTTGTTCATTGAATCGTAGAATAATTCAGGTCTGAAGAGACTTTTGGAGGTGGTGCCTAAGTCAAGGAAGCTTTTCCTCCCTGCAAGTCTACTTCTGGCAATCTGCCAAGATGTCTGGAATTTGTCTATAGGATCATTGAGAGGACAGAGATAAAATTTATTTGATCAGCACAATCATATCAACAGCCAAGTGCAATCTCCGAGGAAGGCCTATGTCAGGGCTCTTAACAATTCCCCTGTCTGAGACATATGGGGCTTTAAAATTCTCCATAGGTGCTAATCAATAATTTCCATGGCACTTATAGATTTGACCATGTCCTCTAATAAAGCAGGAATGAAGAGGAGTTCAATACATTAAGTCCTCAGGTAAGCATTAGGCTTTCACATAAGTCTCAGGGCTCGCTCCTGATTAGTAATTTTCCAACTGACTGGCTTATTACACCCATTATTTTGAACTAAGTTTTCTTTCTGGCTATCCTCTCAAGCACAGCTGTTTTTCAAACCTAGCTCATTCCAGACTTAAAGGGTTGTTGATTTTTCATTCACTGTCCTCAAAAACTAACATTGAAGATGATGACTTTGGAATGACAAGTAAGGAACTCTACATTAGCTTGTGTCAGGCCATGATTTAGGTGCAGTGAAGGTACACTCAGACTTCATTGTTTATCAATTTTATTTTCTTTCTTCCCATTTCAACAGGAATGAAACTAATACTTTCTCCTTTTGCTTTTCTGCACAGATTAGGAGGTTGCATACAGTTTATAAGTCATGAATATCACATATCCACCAGGTGTTGTGTGCGTCTTAGTATGTGTGTGATAGTCTTGCCTGAGTCAAAAAGCAGACTGTGTGGGAAGCTGAGAGAAAACCATAGAACACCACAAAGCAGTACTATGGCAAGGTATTTAGTCTTGAGAAGAGTCCTAATTATAGGAATTGCCTCTGGCAGTAAATCAGCATGTTGTGCTGAGGATATTTCCCTAGACTGAAAGATCAGGATCAAAGGAAACTCCATGCTTTTGCAGACACCCATTTAAAGAGGAGAGGTGTGAAAGGATGGCCAGCCAGTTCAGAATACCAATATTGTTCAAGATAAAAAGCATGACATGAAGTTAAGATTAACTAGAGTAAATGAAATATAAAATACATGGAAATTCACACACAGGTCTTCACTGTATTTACATTTTATTTTTTAAGCTTTACACTTCAAAATAAATATAGAAGAATTATCCTGAAAAAAAACCCAAACAACTAATAAGCAAGCAGAAAAGCTGTTTCTGAAACTTTATTTCCCCCACTGATCAACAGAAGTATAAACAGCTACTAGAAGGTTGAAATTGCATCCACTCCACCAGCACACCACAAGATCAGATCACATAAATCTGTGCCCCCAGCAGCATAACCTGGTACTTCAGAGAACTCCTCATGAGTACTAAAAGGGGCCTCCGTTGCACCTTATTTTCATGGTACTTAGCAAGGTTCAAAGAAAATCTGCTTAGACACATGAGTATCATTCTTCAGTGAAGGAAACTGAAATTTGACAAAACAGCTGCAGGCACCCTTAGAGCAAGAAAATGTTAAGTTGTTAAAATGATGCACTAAGTTTTCACTCCTGTTCCAGGTGCCTGCTTAAAGGAATCTGATCATTACCATCCAAAATTCAGAGCTCATCAAGGACCTCTGACACCTCTTACTCACTGATCACTATGTGGTACGACCTTGGGTTATAAATAGAAGAAAGAATAGGTGGTAAAAATAATACCAAAGGTTGCCATGACATCAGCATTGTAAACACACTAGGGAATGCTGCCAGTACTGAAGTATCATCAGTTATCTAATAAGCAGTTTAAAGAAAAATATAGAGGTCACTCTTGGGAAGGCTTTAGTACATTTGTATTTCTGAAATGTCGGTTTCTAAATCAAACTCTTTGCATTTTTCAGAAGAGACCCAAACGCAACACTACAAAATATCAGTGTGAAGCTAATAAAGCAACATGAGAAGTGTTTTGTTCTTCTGCCCCTGTAAAAGCGGTCCCTGTGGTCACCTTCATCACTCCAAAGCACTGGATGCCTTCAGAGGGTGCTGCCACTGTCACTGGCAGTGCTGTGCTGTCCTACACGCACCAATGGCACGAGTCAGGTCACCAGTCTGACAGTTTGTCCTTCCAACCAGACTTGGTGTCCGACCAAGAGACAGCCAATTCCAATTGTCATTTTACTTATAGCAAGGGCACACTAACTGAAAATCAGAATCCTTTATACAAAGAAAGCCCCGTGAAAATCGATGTGTTTAAAGACTGGAGACTGCCTCACTTGCATTTTTAAAGGAAGGCTGGATTTTACTCCCCACATCTCCATTGCTGTCACTGGAGATACCCTAAGCACTGGAGAGTGTTCAACAAATGATACTGGTCAAACTGCAATGGCTTTATTCATCTTTATCCTCCATTGCTCTCTGCAATCTTTTTGACTTACAGTATTTGTACTTAATGACATTTTAGAGATACAGTCAACTGACCGAGCCCTCTGTCAGTAAGTGATTAGTTGATTACGTACCACACACACAGCTGTTGAACACCTTGAAGATAAAAATGAACCTGACAATTCCCTGCTGAAATAGCAATCACCATCAACCCAACCAAAGGGAGCAAAGTAAGGTGAGACGGGGACAGAGCAGGCTGGAGAGAAGGACAGGACATTACATAATCTGACATTCCATGAACTTTCTAGCATTTGCACAATTACATCCAAGCAAAAAATAAACCAGACAAATAAACCAGACATTTTTTTAATGCTTTCACAATTCTTGTCCTTCTCCATCACATAAACTAGGAAAAAAAAAAAGAAAAGCAAAAAGCCACCAGGGACAAAAGAACAAAATGTCAGGTGATCAAGGGCAATGACTCACAAACCTAGAAGCATTCATTTAGGAGAATAAAACTGCCACTCAAGAAACACAGCACATACTATCTCCAGGATTGCACCACTGTCCTTATCGGTTTTAAAGCATCTTTTATTCTATTGTGGGTTTTTTTTTCAGAAGCTGGCATTTGCTGTAAACTAGGCATTTTTATCCATTTATTTATTTAATAAAGTATTCTTTCATTAAGTCAATAAAGTCACACTGTGGTAACTTATTCTTCTCTCCACTAATGTACTTATGAGTAAGAAATAGAGAAACACAATACCAGGAGGACAGTAAATACACACAAATATGCTCTGAGATTAAATGATTAGAAGCAGCAAACTCATTAGACCAAACCTCTTTTTCATTCTTGTTTTCTATTTTAATTAAATTGCTCCAATGTTCACCTTCATGCAGCTGAACTGGATCTCAGTTCTCATGACAGTGATTGTACCTCAATAGCCTGAGCATACATTAATTGCTTGAGTCAAAGCAGTCACAAATGTCAGTAAGCCCTTTCACTACAACACTGTCATCAGCTGTTCTCCACTTTAGAAAACCTGTCAGTTTTTCCTGCTAGCACATCAGCAAAACAGGATAGGTGAGCTCTTCAGCAAAACAGTGATTTCAGAAGTTAACACCTCATTTTGTTAAAATAAATCAAGCCAGTATTTATCTTCTACGATTTTATGTGACAGCAAGAGATCTCCTTTAGACTTCTAAAATAAGCCAATTTAAGTACAATATTGAAGGTACAAAAAAATGACAAGGCTTACTGATGGAATCAATAGTCAAGTCTAACCTTTGATCACAAACCCACTTGTATGTTACATTCCTTCCTAAACACCCTAGTGTGTCATGGACCCATTGAGCTAAAAATATATCACACATATGTTCCCAATCCAGATCCACCTGAGCCACTTCCATTCTAGTAGCCTGGTCCACCTGGCCATCACTTTCATGTTCTTCAGTGGCAGTGGAGTGTGTGAGTGTCTACATGACATGCTTTAAAAAAACAGGTTCTCCACCCAAGCAGCAGTATCTTGCCAGAATTCAGCAGCCCTGATGGATTTCCCTCTGCACTGCCAGTTGCTCTGCATCCGTTTCTGCAGCCACACCCACAGGACATTTGACACCACCTATGAGTCAGTATAGTGACAAATGATTGGCTATTTTCCTCATTCAGCAACATCTAAAGCCAGCTGGAAGGCTTTCACCTCTGCAAACCAGCCAGTCACCTTGTCCTTCAGCATTTTCTGTGACTTTTCTTGTAGGACTCCACACAGCAGTTTTTCGCTTCCAATGATTTCCCACAAAATGACAGGATCTGTCCGCAAACAGAGCATATTGCTTCTGATTTTCTGGTAATTCATTATATAGAGGGTCCTCTTCAGCCCACGTTACCTCCTCTGGTGACACTCCAATGTTTTGACACTCTGAT